AATTATTCGTGCTCAGGCATCAGCTTTGCCGACCATTACCGATGGCGATTATAATGTTGAAAATCATAGGCTCTGCAATATTGGAATGCCTAGTGACGACAATGATGCATCCACTAAAAAGTATGTAGACTTGGCAACTAGCAGTCTATACAATAAGGTGCTCATCGCAAATGAAGCACTTGGCGCCCTTGGAGAAGCAGTGGATAACATCAGCGATCAAGTTAAAAGCAGTATGATCCGCATTCAGGAATTGGATCAAATCTTGAACAGAAACGTCCACGATGACCTTCGTAGCCTTGGTGATCTAGCAAGAGAGACTGGAGAAAAGATGAGTCAGCTGGCCATGACGTGCGAGGAACGTTTCCAGAAAATTGAACAATTTGAAGCAACCATCAACCATCGAATTGATCAAATTAAACATGCTGCCAATATTTTGTAGTAGTTATTATAAATATACGTACTCCCATACATATATGTTTAGTTGTCTTTGTGAAATGTCTAGAGAACAAGTGGTTAAGGAGCTTCATCGACCGGCTCGTAAAAACTTCAAACGTAGAAGATTTATACAATATGGCCTCGACGATACTTTTGCCACTGATCTGGCACAACTTGATCAATATGCCGGAGAAAACAATGGATTCAAATACATATTGGTTGTAATCGACTGTTTTTCCAAGTACCTTTGGACGCGTGCCATTAAATCGAAATCTGCACCAGATGTTGCCAACGCTATGGCAGAGATACTCAAAACATCTGGAAGAATTCCAAAGAAAATTATCTCTGATAATGGAAAGGAGTATTACAATGCTCAATTTGCAAGTCTAATGAAGAAATATGGAATACATCATTATAGTTCGTTTAGTCCTTTGAAAGCATCGATCGCCGAGAGAGTGATTCGAACCATTAAAGAAAAGCTGTTCAAGCAATTTACATTGAATGGGAATCATAAATGGCTGGATTTATTACGGCCTATAACTGATGCCTATAATGATAGCAAACATCGTACGATACATATGAAGCCGAGTAACGTGAATAAAAACAATGAAAAGGCGATACTTGATAGTGTTTATAGTCATATCAAAGTTGCCGGTAAGCAAAAGTTCAAGGTTGGTGACATTGTTCGCATAAGCAAGTATAAACATGTTTTCCAAAAAGGCTATACCCCAAACTGGACTACAGAGCTCTTTAAAATAGCTAAAGTTCATATCACGAATCCAACGACGTATCTGTTGGAAGACTTGCAAGGTCAGCCGATAAGCGGTGGATTTTACGAGGAAGAGCTGCAGAAAACAAAACAGCCAGACGTATTTCTCGTGGAGCAAGTGCTACGAAAAAAGGGAAACAAAATGCTTGTAAAGTGGTTAGGCTTTGATAAATCACACAACAGCTGGATTGACATGAATAAAGATGCCATTTAATACTCGCATGTGATTGGTCTAAGACATGTTCGACGGAGTGGTGGTGGTGGGGGGCCGTAACAGTTATTATAAACCTCAAAGTACCACATTTGTGTCTCAGTATTTGAACGTAGTCACGGTGTCATCGTGAAATGTCCTGTGCATCGAATCACACAATGTACGCAGATATCAGTGCCGAAGACAGCGACGATTCGCAGTGTTCGTCAAATTATTGGGAATATTTGGATAGTATGATTTTGAAAAGTCGAATGGAAATTGCTCAAGAGAAACGTTTACTCAACGAAGTTAGCTACCAGGTGAACAATTTCAAGTTGATTGTGGGCCTAAGCGTCGCTCGAGGAATGCTGCCAGCAGTCAAAATAGTAAACTCCATGCTAAACTTGCCCGAAGATCAAACTTGCATAACTCTAGCCGATTTCGACTGGTATGAATTCCTGGAAATGGTCTCCAAGATGGTGAATGAAACTGCTGCTGGCGTCAAAGACTCTGCTGTGCCTGGTCAACAACAGGCGTTATCCGAGAATTTCACTCTGTATGTCGAATCGTTTTTCGGTGAACAAGCTCTAACTCTTACGTCGAATAATTGTGCATTGTGTTTTTGTTTGGACGACATCAAACAAATTTTAACTGTTTGTCCTCTCATTAATTATAGATTAGAATTAGTCAAGGATTTGAATTTCATTGTATACTATGACGATTGCCTACAATATTTGAATGTAACTCACAATGTCAAAAACGGCAGCCATCTTTTGCAATCAATTATCAGCATGTGTAACTTGAACAAATGTGAACGTAGCTGCTACTTTCTAGAACTTGCTACTATGAACCTAGGCAAAATTGTCAGGGATTTAGATAAGCTGGACGCGTGTTGTACCACCCTCCAATCCAATTAGTATAAGTATTAATAAATGACTATAAAAAACAGGCTTGCTTTTTATTTTTCACATTACAATAGCAACCTTTGAAGAGTCAAAATGTCTGGTTGTAGTATTACTGGTCGTCGTGGTGATGCCTGCTGCCATCATCAATCTTCCTGTATAAGACAAGCTGTCTATTTGCTACGTACTAGTTTAGAAACAGACATGTACTTTTTACTTCAAGCACTTGAGCAAGAACCCGACACTAATGGTTGGTTTTCCACGCAAGATGTGGAAAAATATGAAAATGGTGTCAAGTCTTGTAATCTTTATCTGGCTAATTCCATCTCCTTGGAGGACCTATGTGTGCTTATGAATCAGTATGGACTACATCAGCAATTAAAACAGTATGGCGCTAAATACATGTGTGATGATATTATTGCAAAATATATAGGTTACGATGAAGTTGACTAATTTGTATGATGTTTCTATTAAAATAAAAGTTTTCTTGGTGAAAAAAATCGTTTGCATTATATTAACCATTGCGCCAATTTATTAAGGATGTGGAAATGAATCTTATCATTCAATTACTAACCATGATGGTGTCAAGTCAATCGTACTATGTTCTCTTGGTTGCCCTTGTGCAAAATAGTTTCTATGTACACAGACCGTACAATGTCCACAAAATGTCAATAATGCTGGACTTTTCCGCACCTAATAAAACAACATCGTGGACAGAAATGCATTATGAAGTAATAGATAAGGGCCATTTAGCTGTTTTCACGACTCGTATACCGTCGTCGACGTCATTGGCGTACCTGCGTTACAAGGTGAGGCTGCATTTTCATGATGAAACTGTTGGAGATACCGAATGGAGAACTCTCATCAGAGAACCACAACAGCAAGAAGAAACATACAATAATTCCCATAAGAGTCTATCAGACAACGACATCGCACCAAAATCCACTTTAAATGTAGTCATATTTATTGCCATTTGCTGCGTAATATTATTATTGAATTTAACGTACCATATTGGAAAAAGTCAATGTACCCTATGGTTTAATAAATAAATAGGTTTTAATTTAAAAAATAAGTGTGACTCATTTAATTCATTAAATTTCCCATAGTTAATCTGCAGTGAAAATATCCTTTTTTCATCAACAAAATATTAGATGCAAGTCCCAGCTTGTTATTTTCGCTAGAACGTAAATGCTTATCAGTAAAATAAACTGTGAAATATGATACCTTTGTTTATAACGCTCCGACATTAAGCGTCGTCGACTCGATGGTCTGTAACCTTGAGTTTCACGAATTTTCTTTATTTACCACTACGGCATCCTGTAATAGGACACGTCGCACAACGTACGCTAGATGGCGCCACCGACACACAAACTGATGTGACCATATAAGTAAAAAATGATATAACGCGTGTTTACGAAATGATAGGCGTTTGATGCAAAAATGGACGTGACCCAGGTCGCTATGACGTCATCACAGAACCATAATTTAATATACGTAGCGATTTCGAAACGACTCGGAACAATCCCTTCCACGCAAACTCCATATTACAGGAACCTGTAATTACCTGAACCATAATTAACTATACGTAGCGATTTCGAAACGACTCGGAACAATCCCTTCCACGCACACTCCATATTACAGGAACCTGTAATTCCCCGAACCATAATTAACTATACGTAGCGATTTCGAAACGACTCAGAACAATCCCTTCCACGCAAACTCCATATTACAGAAACCTGTAATTCCCCGAACCATAATTAACTATACGTAGCGATTTCGAAACGACTCGGAACAATCCCTTCCACGCACACTCCATATTACAGGAACCTGTAATTGCAAGAATTCACCGCAATAACCCGGTATGACGTCATCACAGGTGACAGATGACGTTTGACAGATGACGTTTGACAGGTGACGTTTGACAAATGACGTTTGACAGGTGAAGTTTGACAGGTGACGTTTGACAAGATGGCGGGAAAACGTTTCCCCCCACCCCTTTTTCTGGTACCTATGATAAAATCCGGGGAGCCCCTTTTCGGGGGGCGCAGCCCTGTGGGCCCCCTTTTGGGGGGCGGAGCCCTACGGGTCCCAACTACAGCATCCTGTATTACGAACTTCACACTATGTACGCTAGATGGCGCCATGACGTTTGACAAGATGGCGCCGACGATGCATCCACCTTCGTGTCAACGGCGGCGCATCCACCACGTGTCAAGAATGAAAGATTGAGGTTATGGTCGGATTTTTGTAGTCATACCCCTGTTGCTGTACTACTAAAAATGTATGTCAAATTAACCCAAAGTAAGAAAACGCTACATAAAATACTGTTTTTGAAAATATCATCTGCCCTAAATATGTGTACTTAATATCTGACCAAAAAAATCTAAAAATCTTAAATGCTTAAAAATCTCAAGAAACCAAATTTTAACCGGGGCAGGGTTGTTACTCAAATTTACTGGCACCCTTCTGGCAGACTCTGAGAACTTCACAGAAAAAGCACAACCGAAAAGTTGTTACATTGTTGTTCATTACAAAGACAGCCCTTTTTCCTCAACTGTTGGAAACTACTGTGAGTTTAAAGACTACATACTCAAAATTTAAAAAAAGAAAATTCATGTTAGAGGAGCAATAAGCAACTTCAGTGAAGCACGTCATTGCATTCAATAACATGTACGCCAAAATATTTAAAAGATTTATTACTCACCTAAGAGCGTCTTGAACAAACTCACTGGGAATCTGTTTCTTTGGCACGCTGCAATAATAGCACCAAAGTTGCTAGCAGTCAAACGAAATTTTCTCACAAGGAACCATTTTTCATTTGACACCTGACCAGTTGTGGTAGCAGCGATGTCTTTTATCGAATGATCATCGACAGCACATTTCTGTCTGAACACAGACACTTTATCTGTGGCCTCCAAAAAATCCTTGGAAGAAATTATCTCTTCGATTATCGCAAATCTATTTTCCAGCGGATTTATTGACTCCTCATTCAATAGCCAAGTAAAACCAACAGTATTTCCGAAGCTGCGTAGCCTTTCCTTCAATCTGTTGATTGATGCCTCTGGTACCCCACCTTCGAGAGCTGTATAGGGCTTTGGTGGATAAAGCTCTTCTGCACATTTCACTGGCCCATCCTTTGGTTTGGGTGGTGCATTCCATGCACATGCTTTATCTGTTACCGATATATGATAATGCCCAAAAAGAGCCAACGCTGCGATGTGATGGCATTTTATGCCTCTAGGACAAATGCAAGTGGCTTCTCTAATATCACCATTCTGTTCCAATACTACAATAAAATTATAAAAAAATTAATTCCATATTGTCGCGGCTTTGGGTTGCCTGCTGACAAAAATCTTGGGTTCGTTGTTCGTTTCGTTTATTCCAAAAATCAAAGTCCAATTAACACAGCAATAATTTATTCCACTTAACAAAACACTCTGACACTAATTACTTTATTAACAAACTCAACAATTAAACTCTTTACAATCACTATTTAAATCGTATGACACTCGAACTGAAACTAACTTACAAACCAATGCCGGCCTTCTTATATATCCCTAAATCTATTCCTGTGAAATCTAGAATACACACGATAATCTAATTTTCCAGATTAAAGTAGAATAATTCGCTAGATTCTAGTATTTCCGCGATCGATTCTTGACAGCCTGGCGGACGTTTAGCTTATTGTGACACTGCCCTCCTCTTAAGGTTGATCGTCCCGATCAACTTCACGCCCATGATATTTCGCCAACCTGTCCAGATGTACAACTTTCATCTTACTCCTGGTGTTGCGCTGGACTCGATAAACCAAATCATTGATCCTCTTGATTACTCTATAGGGTCCTTCCCATGCTGAAGACAATTTCGGTGATACTCCTTTCTTCCTTACTGGGTTATACAACCACACTAAATCCCCTTCTTGAAATCCGACCGAATTGGCCTTCAAGTCGTATCTGGTCTTCATTCGGTCACTGGCTAGTTGAATATGCTCCCGAGCAAAATCATGGATACCCAGAAGTCGTGCCCTTACTTCGTCGGCATAATCTCGGATTTCTCTTCGTTCTTCTTCGGGTACTCCAAACATCAGATCGCAAGGTAGCCTGAGTTCCCTTCCAAAAACAATTCTAGCCGGACTTTCACCTGTTGAATCGTGAACAGCCGCTCTGTAAGCCATTAAAAAGAGAGGCAAATGCTTGTCCCAATCTCGTTGGTTCTTTGCGACCACTTTTGTCAGGTGTTCCTCTATGGTCTTATTGAATCGTTCTACCATGCCATCAGACTGAGGGTGTAAAGGTGTTGTCCTTGTCTTACGAATGCCCATGATCTCACAAACTTTCTTAAAGATGGCAGATTCGAAGTTTCGTCCTTGTTCTGAATGTAACTCTAGTGGCACACCATGACGACTAAAAACTTCGTCTACTAGCACCTGGGCAACAGTGATGGCTTCTTGATTGGGAATAGCGAAAACTTCTGGCCATTTACTGAAGTAATCCATGATAACTAAGATGTATTTGTTACCACGCTCTGACTCTGGGAACGGTCCTGCTACATCTATCGCTATTCTCTCAAATGGAAGACCAACGTTATACTGTTTCATGGGCCCCCGAGATCTTAGTTTAGGGCCTTTACTGGTAGCACAGATGTCGCATTTTCGGCACCAGCTTTTAACGTCTTCATGGTAGTGAACCCAGTAAAAACGTTCCCGAATTTTGTCCAAAGTTTTGTTAACTCCGAAATGTGCCCCTGAGGTTCCGTCGTGTATTTCTTTTAATACATCTTCCACTCGGTCTTTTGGGATAACCAGTTGGCTCTTAGTGGATTTCCCATCGGCACTTTCCCAAACTCTTTTGAGCAAACCATTTTCTACAGCCAGAGAGTTCCATTGGGCCCACAACGCTTTGTAAATCAAGCTCTTGTTTGACACTTCCCTCCATTCTGGCCTACATTCATCGTTTTCTTTAAGATGTAGAATTTGCCCGATGTCCTGGTCTGCCTCCTGATCTTCTCTCATTTGCTTGGTAGTCCATTTATCATCGACGATCAGGCCCGTTCTTCTTACAGCTGGACTAGTGTTTTTCTCATGTATATCGATTCTTTGACAATGTTTGCAATCTTCTTTACATGGCCGTCTAGACAGAGCGTCAGCATTTTTATGTAGGTTTCCAGGTCGATGTTTAATTTGGAAATCGTATTGCTGCAATTTCTCAATCCATCTAGCAAGCTGTCCTTCAGGAGTTTTCATTTCTAAAAGCCATTTTAGAGCTGCGTGATCTGTTCTAATTAGAAACTTGCGTCCGTAGAGATACTTATGAAAATGGTCGACTGCTTTTACTATGGCAAGCAACTCTCTTCTGGTGACACAATAATTTCGTTCCGGCTTTGATAATGTTCTGCTGTAGTACTCCACGACATGTTCTTGTGAGTTTTGGATTTGTGAAAGGACAGCTCCAACACTGGTGTTACTTGCATCTGTGTCCAAAATCAACATGCCTTTGTGATCAGGATAGGACAACACTGGGCTCGTACATAATGCTCCTTTCAATTTTCTAAATGCGGAATCGCATTCTTGGGTCCAATTGAATGTTGATTTTTCTTCTGTTAATCGATGAAGTGGAGCAGCTATATTGGCGAATCCTTCCACAAATCTTCGATAATAAGAACATAATCCTAGAAAACTCCTTAGTTCATGTTTGTCGCGTGGTTTTGGCCAGTCCCTGACAGCATCTATTTTTCCTTCCATAACTTGTATGCCCTCCTCAGATACGACGTGACCTAAGAATTCCACTTTCTTTTGAAATAGGAAACACTTATTTGGATTGAGTTTTAAGTTGGCATTCCGGAAGCGGTCAAAAACTTCTTTCAGGTTATTGAGATGTTCTTGGAACGAATTTCCCATAATCATGACATCATCCAAATATACCAGGCAAGTTCTCCATGTAAGGCCTCGCAAAACAAGATGCATCAGTCGCTCAAACGTAGCTGGAGCATTACACAATCCGAAAGGTATTACATTAAACTGGTATAGTCCGCTACCGGTACTGAAGGCAGTTTTCTCTTTGTCATCGTCATGTATTGCCACTTGCCAGTATCCACTTTTGAGATCCAAGGTGGAAAACCATTTGGAGCCCGATAGAGTTGTTAGTGTATCGTCTATTCTTGGGAGAGGGAAGCTGTCCTTCTTGGTGACGTCATTAAGCTTTCGGTAGTCCACACAAAATCTAAGACTCCCATCTTTCTTCGTAACCAATACTACTGGCGCGGACCATGGACTATTTGACTCTCCAATGATTCCCTCTTGAAGCATTTTATCAATTTGGTTTTCCACTTCCTGTTGCTTCGCTACTGGCATACGTCGTGGTGGTTGTCTAATTGGGTGTGCCAATCCAGTATCAATTTTGTGTTGAATTAAGCTGGTTCGGCCGGTTTGATTGTCCATCACAAATACGTCTGCTTCTTTCAAAATGAAATCTGTGGCTTCTTGAAGTCTATCTGGATCGAGATGTTTCCATGATTTCGCCAAGGTCTGCATCATGGTGTCTGTATCTAATTTGGATTTCACAAAATGTCGCTTATCTGGTAGGTCACAGTTCGATATTTGCATCACTGGTTCGAGAGCTCCAATAATGTCTCCTTCTTTTATTCTTACTGTTTCGGAAGAAACATTGGCAATTCTTATCATAATGTCTCCATTTGTTCTTACTAGGGTCTTTCCAACAAGAAATCTTTCTGGTTTATCTCCAATGAAATTACGTGTTAGCCCAACGCAGCACCCAGGGTTTGTTTCTAATTTTCCGCAAATGATCTTCTCAGTACTTCCAGGAATCCTCACTGGGGTTGTGGCCAGGATCTTAACGGCATCGGATTCTTCTTGTGTTGTTAGGACAATTTCTTCATTACCAAATTTAAGGATGTTCATGGAAGGATCAAAAGAGAAACCATGTTGGCCGATCAAATCCATTCCCAAAATAAAATCATCTTCTATATCGGCGACTAATGTTTTGTGCCTGAAGGTGGTAGATCCAAAAGTGAGCTCAACCATAGCTTCTCCTTGAACTGCTGCAGATTCGCCGGTGACTGTTCGTAGTGACAGGTTTCTAGTGAGCGGTTGGATTGCCCGAGACTTGACTAATGTTCTTTTAATTATGGAAACTTCAGCACCCGTATCAAAAGTAATGGTTTTCAATTCTCCATTAATTTGTCCTTCGAATTTTAATCCTCTATAATGACTGCCCAATGATTTTATGTAAACAACTCTGGGGGTTTCGTCATTACTAGCCAGCATCCTCCCTTTCGTACTAGTTGGTTCCTGTTTATTATTAGGGCTGGCGTCTCTAGACCTTGAAAAGCGTTGAGAATGATCCCTAGATGGAAAGGACATCCTTAGTCTACAATCCCATTGCATGTGTCCAAGCTTTTGGCACCGGTAGCATTTTACTCGGTTTCTTGGTGTTGGTGTTTGTCTGGAATCGTTTCCCATTTTTCTATCTTCTAGTAACAGTTTCTCCATTCTCTCCATGAAATCACTCATTTGTGTTTCAAAGCTATCATCCTCTTTTGCCAATTGTTTATCTTTTGGGTCTTCAATGGACACTGCTCGTACTCTGGGTCGTGAGGCACCAAAGATTGCTTCCAGTTCTAATGCTCGGACAAGGGCTTCGCTACTTTTCCTGAACTTGGACATTCTTAGGTTTTCCTGGATCTTGGAATCCCGGAGACCATCAATAAACGTAGATACTGCCATCCATTCTTGTATGTCTTCCCTAGCTGCAGGAAACGCCAAACTCACTAGTCTTTTAACTTCCGATTCGAATTCTTGTAGACTCTCGCCGGGTTTTTGAACTCTTGATTTAACTTGAGTTCTGAATACTTCTTGTCTGTAATGGTCTCCGAAGCGCAGTTCTAAAGTTTGAGTTAGATGCTGGTAATTCTGTTGGTAGATTGAAGGAATGGACTGAAGAAGATCTAAGGCTGGTCCTCGTAGCGCCACTATCAGTGCTGTAGCTTTTTCTTGATCGTTCCATCCGTTGGTATTTGCAGCAGCTTCAAATTGTCGAATATACATGGTCCAGGACGTAGAGCCTTCGAAAGTTGGTGGTTTTATCTTCATACTGGAGAATGCTCCAACACTAGCTGAATTGATGGACTGTATTTCTAATCTACGCATCTTTTCTTCGAGTGCTTGAACTTGGTCCTCAACTTCTTGTCTTAATTGCTGAACATCGGTTTTGACTTCAGCTTTTACTTCTTGAACATCGTGTTTAACTTCTTGCACATCGTCTTTAACTTGTTCAATCTTCTGGTCTAGGTTAGCGACAGTTCCTTGTATGGTTTGGAATATTTTCTGTAGTCTTCCAAGGTCCTCCTGCCGTTCTTGTTGTCGCTTAGCTTCTTCTTGTTGTCGCCTAGCTTCTTCTTGTTGTCGCCTAGCTTGTTCTTCTTGTTTTTCTTGTTGTCGTCTGGCTTCTTCGTCTTGTTTTTCTTGTTGTCTTCTAGCCTCTTCTTGTTGTCGTCTAGCTTCTTCGTCTTGTTTTTCTTGTAGTCGTCTGGCTTCTTCGTCTTGTTTTTCTTGTAGTCGTCTGGTTTCTTCGTCCTGTTTTTCTTGTTGTCTTCTAGCTTCTTCGTCTTGTTTTTCTTGTTGTCGTCTGGCTTCTTCGTCTTGTTTTTCTTGTAGTCGTCTAGCTTCTTCGTCTTGTTTTTCTTGTTGTCGTTTGGTCTCTTGAAGTTCCAACATTTTGCGCAGAAGTTCTTCAACTTTTTGTTCGTCCATTTTGGCTTGTTGTCTTGTGATAGGCATATACAGAATGTTCTAGAATTTCCCTCGAACTTTCTTCAAATATCTTTTCGAAGTTTCAAACACGCCGGTGAAGTCACAAATTGGATAACTTGCTTTATTCTAGAATAGAATGTTCTGGAATTTTCTTGAAACTTCTTTTCTAGATGTCGATTGATACAGCAAATACGTCGGTGAAGTCACAATTTCGATATCTCCTTAGGTTTCCAAATAGAATGTTCTAGAATTTTCCCGAAACTTCTCGAAAAACCTCTTCTGAATGACGATTGATGTTCCGAATACGTCGGCGAAGTCACAAATTCGATATCTCCCTTAGTTTCCAAATAGAATTTTCTAGAACTCACTCGAAGATTCACTATCACAGTCTAAATCGGGTATAGAGTCACTTCCGGGGTAATTCACACGATCGGTTAAGTCTCTTTTTGTGATTGTCACTATTTGCACTGCACTAACTGTCCCAGTGTTCACTTAGTGTTCAGTTTTTATACTACACTAGTGTCCCCGCACTTCCGTAATTGGATTTCACTCTGCAGTCCTTTATATCCCACTCCTGACACCACTTGTCGCGGCTTTGGGTTGCCTGCTGACAAAAATCTTGGGTTCGTTGTTCGTTTCGTTTATTCCAAAAATCAAAGTCCAATTAACACAGCAATAATTTATTCCACTTAACAAAACACTCTGACACTAATTACTTTATTAACAAACTCAACAATTAAACTCTTTACAATCACTATTTAAATCGTATGACACTCGAACTGAAACTAACTTACAAACCAATGCCGGCCTTCTTATATATCCCTAAATCTATTCCTGTGAAATCTAGAATACACACGATAATCTAATTTTCCAGATTAAAGTAGAATAATTCGCTAGATTCTAGTATTTCCGCGATCGATTCTTGACAGCCTGGCGGACGTTTAGCTTATTATGACAATATTATATTAACAAATGCAAATGTTAACATACCTATAGATACCTTGTAGCTTTTGTCTTTCATACTAGCAAATACTTCCCCTCTAATAATCTGCAAATCAGAGTCAAATTCCATTTTTTTCACATGGCTGGATTCCAAGGCATTTTCACCCCTTTTTATAATTTTGTTATCATCTATAAAAGCATTGATGCTTGAAAGTTTCAGAACGTGTTTAAAAGCCATTATTCTCTTAAAAACAAAAGGATCTGAAAACAAAACAAACAAAAAGGTACTGCAAAATAGAATAAACATAACCTCAAAAAGTTTTAAAGCAGAATTATTATGTTAAAATAACTCACCTCAGGAAAAACCAATAAAAATCAACTAGATAGCACGTTCTTCCAACAATTTATCCAACTGGAAAGTCTAATTTCAAGAAATAATCCACAAAAACACGAACTGAAAGATTGGTTATACGGATTTACCGTTAAATACGAAATTGTTTGGACCCAGTATAGGCTCCGCCCATTTATGTGACGTCAGACTTAGGTAGTCTATTCAATTGTCTCAATTTGTCTCCGATCCCCGCCATTTTATTTGTTTTTCGGCTTGGCATTTTCCAAGTCAGTGTTAGGAGTTGAGCCACAAGAACTGTGACTTTTATCCCAAATATACCTACACTAGAATTAAAACTATATCTTTTGATTTAATAAAAAAAGGTTTCGTTTATTTGTGAAAATTTATAAGTTTTGGGAAGGACACTTTGTCAGTTATGAGAGGTAACTTTAGATGTTGTCAGAGTCAAGATGGAATTCTGAATGTCTTCTCGTCTTCTTTCCTGAAAGAAGGAAACGTCCTGGAACCTCCTTCGAAAGGGCGGGAGTTCCTCTAGTTATTCACTGAAAGTACCTTAACGCTATTTTACAGATGTTACTTATATTGGTGCTAAAATATTTAATGATTTGGGATTTTTTTGGGAAGTTTATACAATAATAAAAACTAAACCCTATTCGGGCACGTAAATAGTTATTGGACATCATTCCGACAATTTAACAGTTTATGAAAATAGAGGGATATAAAACAAGGGTCCGAAAGGTAAAGCCATATTGAGCCGACAAGGCATGGTCAGGCCTCTCTGCAAAATACATAGTAAATATAATAGAAAATTAGAGATATAATTAAATGTTCCTATAATCACTGTGTTATCTTATTGGTTCATAACACCTCCCCTCTTAATGAGAGATTTTATGTAATTTAAATGAAAAATCAAATGAAGTAAAATCTCTGATCAAGCTTGTATAAAATTTAAGTAGATAATTATAGTAAGTTATTTCTAAAGTAATATGATACAATTAAAAAATGGACTAATAGCTATATAACCTATAACTATATTTATGCTAAAAACAGTAAATGACATCAGGAAGAAAATGTTTATGAAAACTAAGTTTATTTGACTGCTCGTCTTGTTGGTGCATAGCCAATACTTTTCCGTTGAGGAAATTCTAATGAAACATTTTCCTCGTCCGAATCATCATCACCAGTTGTACTTCTTACTGCTCTATTTCTGTTTATATATCGAGCTGCATATTCATTATTTGGATAGGATGGCTGTACATTTTGATTGACTCTAATACACAAATTGGGAATGCCACAACAAGAATTTTTATTTTTTTGACAAATGCATTTCTTATAGAATTTATAACCTAAATAAAATAGTACAATGATTGCTAAAATATACGCCAGTATAGAAGCAGAAAATGTGTAGCGAGATGTAGCTTTGTTTTTGTGAATATCATCTGCTAATTTTTCTATATCGTCCAACTTATGACTAGCAATGTTAAGTTCGGGTATGTGTTTACTCAACGTTTTATAATGTTGGTTCAACACAATTTCCGAAAAATTTATCTGATGTTCTTTCACTTTTTCACAACACTCATCAATAATATCAAATGGCGGAACAATTTCACTGTACACTTCTGATTGATAGATATTGTCATGAGGCATTAATATTGTTGAAGAACTATAAGCCTTGCATTGTTTCGCAAGTGTGACGCTACCGCAATTTTTTAAAGTAACATCCATTGGCTTATCATTATTGGTACAAGATATGGTTAAAGTTTCTGTATTAGGTACTGCAAATATCCAAGTGTTACTGGTTGACAATTGAATAAAAATGCCTCTCTTAGAAGTAACTATGCGTTTGTCGCAATTTTCGGGGATTTTATCAGAAGTAGCTTGCAATAGTCTAATCTCGCAATTGTCTACGAGATGTGCAAGAGATACTGGCTTATGTTGCTTACAAATAATTTTATTTCCTAGCAACTTAATGCAAGATATGTATTCCATATCTGAAAATTGTACAAATTGTTGTTTACTTTCGTCTATTGCAATATATTTTGAGGAAGGTTGAATTAAAATGAATTCATTCAATACTACTAGTTTGGGAAACGGTGATATTTTGTATAAATAAAATAATTGCGTCTCTACAAGAGGTGTGTTTATGATATATATATAAGACGTTTATTTTCAAAGAAAACTTGTAACTCAATTATATTTAGCAAAATGTTTGCATTGGATGTGTCTAAAGGTATCGGGAATTCCAACCCATGGGGAAGAGATTCTAAAACTTGTCTTAATTCTTTTGTTAATTGGACAGGCGTCATGATAGCCGGATGCAATATTCCCTTTTTAGCAATAAGGATTGCGTTGGTGAGTGACATGATTTCTAGCTGTAACTGATTTAAAATCATATTCGTTATTGTAACATGGTCTTCTAAATTTGTTTTTCAGTTTAGAAACTTTACGTCTTTTTGGTTTTTATCCAATTCCTTCGCGATTTTTTCTATATTGCCTTTCAAGACGTTCTCATTGAAATCCAATGTGCCTATTGTATTGTTAAAGTTTATCAAGGTGGATTGCACTATTTTTGTTTGTTCTTTCAAAAGATTAATTACTGAGTTTTCATCTTTTGAGAATTCCGAAATTTTAGCGTCATAATATTTTGCATCGTCGTTATCTAAGATCCCGAATAAAACTTTTGTTGCTTTTCCTATTATGTCAAACCAACCTCTCTTATTTCTGGATACTATATCATTACCCACTAATTCGTGCAGAACTTGTAATTCTCTATTAATTTTGTTGAGATTATATTTAGTGAATTTCACAAAAGAATCACATATATAATAGTGATATTGCGCATTTTCGTGTCTGCATAAATTTAAGGTCATCGTATAATAGTTATTTAAACTTAGAAATTTATCGCTTAGACTATCTATATTTACAAAAGTTATAATTTTCCATTTGTTGTTGTAAAGCCGCATTTCTCCCAATTTTTCGAAATGAATGCCCGGATTGTGGTCATAGTAGGTAACGTTATATTCAGATTTGGCCATAGCTAAATTGATAATATTAGCGAGTAGCATAACCCTGACGGCAAACCTGAAAAGAGGAGAATATCGTTAGCGAACTTTAGGTTTGTGCTTTCCCAAATATAGGTATATACATGTAAATGAAAAAGTGGAACTAGGTATATACATATTATATATAAATTTTTTTTTTTTAGTCGTAAAAATGTTTCAATCTATTAGCGTGGACTGTCTGTTTTTTGTTTCCTTTCTGAATGACATAGTTCACGTCAGATAATTTTTCTACTATAGTATATGGCCCTATCCATAATGAGGTTAGCTTCTTACTTCTACCTCTACGGACAGACTCATCATAAAGCAATACTTTGTCACCAGTTGTAAAGTCTCTAGACAAGCTATTTTTGTCATAGTTGTTTTTTGATTTGTATTTACTGTCTAATAGATTTTCTCTAGCTATTTGTCTAGAATATTGCATTTTTTGTTTCAAGTTTGCTACAAAGTCCTCATATGTGTAAGAAGTCTTTGGGGATTGAGTAATTGACGTTGGTAAGGTAGGGCTATAGCCAAATAAAAGTTCAAAAGGCGCAAATTGTGTCGCTGTATGTGTGGACGTATTATAGGTAAATGTGGCGAAAGGAATCCAGTTATCCCAATCTTCCTGCGTATCAGATATGAAATGTCGTAAATACTCTTCTAGACTCCTATGAGACCTTTCTAATGCGCCATTCGATTCTGGGTGATAGCTAGTCGTCTGAATTTTTTTTATTTTTAGCATCTTGCACGTATTTTTGAAAAGTTCGCTTAGAAAGTTGGTTCCACGATCCGTAACTAGGATTTCCGGTATTCCATAATAACAAATTATATTTTTTACGAAGTGTTCTGCCACAGTCGCAGCTTCTTGATCTTTCATAGGAATGTTGAGATTAAATTTTGTTAAAACATCTTGAAATGTGAGGATATATTTATTTCCCGATTCCGTTTCAGGTAAAGGGCCAACCACATCCAGAAAGCACCTCTCAAAAGGTTTGGTTGCAGTAGTTGTGATGACCATTGGCATTTTAGTTTTACGGGACAGTTTATTTTTTTGGCAAAATTCGCATTTTTTTATATACCTTTTTAAGTCTTTTTTCATTCCTCTCCATTTGTATAAGTTAGCAAGTTTTTTATAGGTACGAGATACTCCTTGATGACCTGCTATGGGAGAATTATGGAATTCTTCTAATATGGTATTTTTATCTGACTCTGAAGGGCTTATTAAGTTATTATTATATATGGTTATTTCAATGTCTAAGTTCTGAAAAAGGTATCTCAACATTGGATAAATGATATCCCATTTTATTAAAGGGTTATAGTGATATTTAATTAATGACAATTTAACTTTAGTATTACGTATGAGATTTCTCAATTTAAGTAGACAATACCAGATATTTTCGTAATTAGCGTCGCTAAAAGTATTTTCATTATCTACAAGTAAAAACATATCAGGATCCTGGTAATGGTGTACCGAAATTACATTTAGTTCAGTGGCTTTATTAAATCCTTCCATGAATTTATTTGCCTGTTTGTTATTTTCTAAATCTCTAAACTTCTCTTTGTTAAAGTTTTTGGGTATGAACAATATTAATGGATCTGTGTCATTGGTCTGAAAAAGCGTAGTGTTTTTTTCTTTTATTTTAGAATTTAAAATTATATGAGTTTGGAGATAACTTTGAAATTCCGTGTAATCGGTTATTAGGTTTGTATTAATTGTATTAACAGTATTAACTATTCTGCTAAGCGCGTCGGCATTTGTATTCTTTTTTCCTGCTTTATAAATTACCTCAAAGTTATACTCTTCCAATTTTAGTCTAAAACGTGTCAGTCGGGAACCTGGATCTT